GGTACGCGGTGTGTACGCGAGAGGACTGGCGGATACGCGTGCGATCGCCCACGCTCGCTCTTACACACGTACACGCGGCGACACTCGGCCAGTTTCTTGGTTCATTCAGTCGCTCGAATCCTTCTTTCATTCAAGGCCCGATACACTTCGATCGCGAAACCCGTCGGGACGCGTGCGAGCGGACTCGTAGATAGGCACACGCGTGCACGTGCACTCGCCGAGCGTATAGGATCTTTTCAAGAGAGATCGCAAGCGTGTAGCTTGCACGGGGTGTCTGAAAGAAATCGCGGTTCTCACGAATGCGACTCGTTCGCCTATAAATTAACTGGGTTAATTACGGCCGAGTCAATTAATTAGCGCCGCGCGAAGCATGAAACTTGACGGGAATTTTAGAACAGCCAAACGGGGCTAAAGGATTTGCGAAAGATTTTCACAGAGGAACCGTGTGCATCTTTTTATCCCAAACTTCAAGTGGGTACATTTGTACCCGGTTGGCCACATAAGGGTTAATGAGAGGTTGTTCGAGGTAATTGCATTTTTTTTCGATAAAATCTGCAACACGTACACGCTCGCGGCTACGTTTAACGCCGCTCGGTTCGATTTGAATCGAACCCGATCGACGCCGATCGTGCGCCGCCACGTCGTTCCACGGGAGAAGGAAAGAGCAATATAAAAAAGCAGGCCAACCTATAAAACATCCGCGAACGTGTCACGCCGTCGAACAAATTGCTTTCCGTAATATCGAACGACGATCTATAACAATAACGGTCTCGATTACGTTTTACAACACGTGCTTTATCGCGAGCGCCGAGTCGAAGGTGTCGGTGGCGCGGTTCACAGATAAGTGCACCGGCACAAGTTGGGCAATAGATCGCCCTGGGCAAGATTGGTGCAACCTCGCGAAGGGTAACACGTAGAAAAGCGAGAGTCGAGAGAGAAAGCTTGTAATACCATTGACGAGAATCAAGCGTACAAACGGTGTATAATTTTCGCGTAATTAGTCGCCCCGCGGCTATTAATTATAGAACACTCATCATAGTACACTTGTAGCATTATATAATATATTCGATAATTAAATTTTTATAATGGATCCTGTCACTCATCCTGAGAAACATTTTTAAACGAAGAGTTTCGTATATTGGAAGAGTAATTTTCAAAGGAACAGCGTAAAATTTGGAAAATGAAACTAATATGAGATAAAAAACTAAATTAAAATTAGAGCTCTCTTCATGGTCCGCCATTCCTCGTTAAGCATAATATTCTCTCTCGTTCCATGCGAAATATCGTTCGCCTTGAAAGCATGGAAGTTACTTTCACGATTTTGGTTATGCTCACCGCGACCCAATTAACGAAGAGGTACCTTTCCACCGATTAACCGCAACTTGTTCGAATCCGAGTATCCACGATCACGTTCAAGGAAGCGACCCTCGCGTGAAATCATTTCTTCTCCATTCGAGAACAAATGCAAAATGTTTATCCAATTTAGATTTTACTAAATTACTCGTGTACTTGGTAGACAATCTTAGAAACCTGATAAGATCGAAATAAGCAATCATCCCTACGGTGTCTGTTTAAAATGGACGCAACAAAAGAGGTTCGTTTGCAACTACAAGAATCTTCTTCTACTTGAAACGTTCACCGGGCAGCTTCGCAAGCTAGCAGACTGTTTATTCCCACGAAAGAAGAAAAACCCTTGGGATCGGCTCGTTACGATCGTTGGTCGCCGATGCACGACGACCACAAGCAACCACACTCCCCCGATTACCATCTCTACCGCCTGTACACGTGTATATCCGTAGCTGGTACACGCACGTAGCCGCTCCTAGGCGTTTTTTCGCCGGGGGATTATACGTGCCCGAGATCGTGGATCTCACGAGGGCGCTGAAAGGTACGGCCTCGCCGTTTTATGCGGCCACCATACGTACGTGGCATGCGTCCACTACGTGTCCGGCATAAGACGACCGCACCGAGGAGATCCTGCGATCACGAGATACCAACTATAAGGACTGTCTATATCCTCGACGGTCTGGAGCGTCTGTAACCCTATACCGAGGCCGCGTTCAGAATTTTAGGTGACTCGGTCATTCGGAAATTTCAAGAATAACAGAAATCTAGGACACCGGCACCTCATCGCGTTTATCTATCTCGTTCGATCGTCTCCGAATGTTGCTCGCCGATTAGAAAGATTAAAGTTCTTCCATTGAAAGAGGAAACGGAGCTGGCGAAACGCCGCGTGTAACGTTCGCCGACCAGACTGTCTCGTTTTCGACGTACGCTCGTTCATTGAGTAATGCGCGGCCCTGTTTCACGCCCGTTTCATGCCGCGATACGATTTATGCCGGTTACGCAAGCAAGCACACGAGATCGTACGCGATGTGGAAAGCGTCCGGTGGATTACATCGTTCGACCACGGGGACACTCTCCTCGGGACGAATAATGAAACGAAACCTCGTTACGAAGCGGAGGCGAACAACGAAGCAGAAAGCGGTTGACCGATCTCTTCGACTTATGAATCGACCGGGACAACACAAGTAGGATGATACGAGCGAGTGGGAAAACAGGAAACGTTCAGCGAATCGATCGAGCATAGTACTCGCGACTTCGTTATGATTATCGACCAAGACCACTGAACGGACCGGCGTTCGCTTGTTTTATCTGTCTCTGGATGTAACATAGATGCGAATTACACGAACGACGTTTCACTGACCAATGAAGTGATCATTGTGACGTGCGTGCATGCAGAAGATAAACGGGACGACCGCTGACAGAGAAAAGACGACGCAGAGAAAGCTTCGTGTACGTTCATGTAACGACATGTAATCGCTTCGATTCGTTTCAAATAAAAATATTGATTTACAACCACTAACGTTGGACAATTAAACGTTTTATCTTTTCCAAGAAATTGATTTCTATATCAGTGAATGACTGAGATAATATTCTTTTGTCGCTACGTAGCAAAAAAAAATAGACTTATTTCATTAACGATGAATCGTCTGATCGATTAACATAGAAGCGTTTAAAAAGTTAGCTCGATATTCATAATTAGACTTAAGAGTAGTGGTTTTCATGCGGTTACTTTCTCCTCTCCGGCGCACAGGAAATCGATCGTAAAGCTTGAACGTTGCCTATTTGCGCTCATCTATCGGTCAATTTATGCTTCCTCTAGCGTTGGAAAGGTGGTCGGAAGGTTTCCCTGATTGGACGCGATTGGGGAATTAATAAGATCAGCAGACGGCGCCAGTTCTAGATAATTCTTATCGAGCAACAAGACTCGTGGACGATCCTTTACCGTAGGGTGTCTGCTTCTTTGGCTCCTCCGTTATGTTTCTTATCAAACCGGAGACGAAGAAAAATATCGGCTATCCAATGCATGCAAAACGATACGTACTCTCGCGTAACGCGGTAACAATAGGCGTGTAGAAATTCAGATAACTTTCTGTTCTCCGCTGACAATTTGTTTCTTATGAATTTACCTACGACGACATTCGTATTCAGAGTTCGCGTTGCTTTTTTACAAGCGAAAGTGTCCATTTGTGCAAATTTTTCTTCCTTCTAGGAATGACTTCAAGGCTTTCGGTGTTTAAACGCGAAACTGGTATTCGTGGTTTCGTCTGTCGCTCTTCCAACGTATCTCCTCGAAGAAGATAAAACAGAGCTCGCGATTAAACAATAGGCCTGGCAAGTGAACATATTATCATTGCCAAAAACGGAGCCTGACGCGGCTGGTTCCCCAGCAATTGCGTACATACACCACGCCCCCGCCCAATGCCTACATGCATTACAATCGCGAAGTTCGAATTCGGAAGTCGTGTAGGTGTGCTCTGACTCAGAGCGACCGTCGAGTCTTCGTTTTCAATCGTATCCGGCTTGACTTGGTCAGGAATAACCGTGTTCGGTCAACGATGGAATTTTAATAAAGAAAAATCTATCGTCCAGCTGGACGAACGTCCATCCGTGTACGCCAAGGAATTTACCTTACATTTTATACGATGGTTCATTATCAAGCGAGAAGGGACGGTTTGAAATACCACGTCACATCGTTCGATCTTTCTCTTTGCTAATATTTTTTTTCATTTTCATTCGTATGCGTCGTATGCAATTGTCTTTCGCGATAAACTCGAATTGTTCCGCGGCGATAAGGGCGATTCAATGTTAGCAATTGATCCGTGGAACAAGTTGAACCGGAACATAGATAAAATTCGGTCGTAAAACGCTATTAACTGCTGTTAAGCAACATTAAATATCGAGCCGAGATAAGGGGATTCTTTTGTCGGTGTGAATGAGATTCGCTGCATCAGAGATTTTACGGAGGCCACTAACCTTGCTCTTTATGAATGGTGGACTTAAGAATCAGAGTGTTAGTTATCGTGTACTTATTGGGAATTGTATTTCTATTGTGTAGAAGTAAATTTAATAAAAATACCGTGCAAGGAGTGTTTTTTAATTTTGTATCAGCGCGTACATGCGCGGTCTTTTGAAACAGTACCATTGGTGCCATCTGGAGGGGATCGATGAAATTAATCGAATAGAGAAAACCTTTTTTTCGGAAAATGAGCGATTTTCTAGCTTAACTGGGGTGATTAAAAGATTCTATAGGTTTAATTTAACCCAGCTAATGACATTTCAGTCCGTTTGTAACGTCAATAAAGAAAATAACAAAAATTGCACTTTATGGAACATGAAAGCTACCTAGCGGTAGATCTCAAGAACTAATGGAACTAAATATTTGTGAAGTCTTTCAGAATACTTGATTCTTTCAACATTTTAAAACATTTAAAGTACTCTGTGTTGATGGAACTCTTCAAATAATGATTCTACAATTAAAATTCATTTAACGCGAGTTTCTATTTTGTTAGTTTCTGCGCTTACCGCTAGTTGACGCTAATAGCAGTGTTTCGAAAGCGCGTGTGCTAATTTAAAATTAGAAAATATAAAGAACCATATTTTCCGTATTTTCAGGCAGAAGAAAAAGGAATGTGATATTTTTAATCAAAACTCACCATTGTTGTAAATTTCTGCGTTAACCAATGTTTCCTCGTCGTCGGTATCCGGCCCAAGGGACACTGGAGTGTATACGATCGAATCTCTAGCTCTCATTTTGTTGCTTTTTAAACGGACAATCCTCTTCTTTCACAGTTCATTCGCGAACCACCTGAAACAATAGTTATTTGTTAGAATGACATTATATTTTGTGCGTTTTAAAATAAGTTGTTAATCTTTTCAAGTCCCTACATTTAACACGAACGATGTAAATTATTTTAATTGTTTGAAAGCTGATCATCGAGTGTATATAACAAAATATTTAAGTAACGAGAATGATGAAGATGTTTTAAGAATTTGATGGAGCAGAAGATAAAATAGCGGTAGAATTCAAAGCTTGCTGGGCGAGTATACAACTATGCCATGACTCAGAATGCCAAATATAGTGATTGCTGGGATTTCAGTAGATTTTTCACGAAAATACTACATCCAACCCCAAGTATACTCTCATATTTACCAGAGAAACTAAATAAAAATTGATCAATTCCAGAAGTTTTCAGAAACCCTAACATTCTAACAGTCAAACTATCACTGCTTTCTTTTTCAAATCAAACAATTTCTCCAGCCTACATTTATCACTAATAAATAACTGTTATTCGATCGAACAAAATATCGATGTTGGTTAAAATTGAATTGTAACTTATGTTAATCATAAACCAACTATCCGTTTTATGGAAAGTATAAATAAAGTTCCGCAAACTCGTTAATACCGTTATCTTGCTAGAATATAAGAATCCATGACGATATTTCAGCTGCAAGAATTTCATACTGCAATTAACTGTTCGCAGACAAAACTTTTATATTAAAATTACCTTTTTGATCGTTCGAGTGTGACGAATATCGCACACTTCTTCACGGTAATCTAAACAAAATGGAAGAGAAGCAGATTCAAAGAAATATCTACATGTAATAAAGGTTTCGTTTATTTATCCCAGAGTCCCTTCAATGATAGCGCAAACGTAACGCGATGTCCCATATGTTTTTTCTGTGCCTCTGTACCCGACATGTGCGTCCTTGTACCAAAAATGGCAACCCCTCCTGAATTTAAGTCAAACAAGCCTACTTCTATTTTTCTTCTTGTGTACCTAGAATACCCCACAGAAGATCCGTCCAAAGAAAATCTATTTCATACGATTTCATTGAAAAATTCTCAATGGTAAATTGAAATATCGTTATCCATATCTCTCCCCATTATTACAATAAATATTCCTACCGCGTGATGTTAATTTCTTCCTAGATTCTTCGGCTATGATTTGTCACATTGCATCGCTAAGTGCATCGCAAAGTGCATCGCGTCGGGCAGTATCGGAATTTCCTTCGTTAATAAACCTATCGAAATGAACGATTAGTATTTCCCTTAGCAACCGGTTTCCTCGTCGCCGCGTTCACGAGTCGTCTTCGTGTTCAGGATAGAGGATCTATTTCGGATAAGACGACCGCCGTCGTCTCGACGCACCGGTAGACGTCATTCTTCCGAGATGCGATCACCGTACAAACGAGCCCGCCTTTATGTCTAAGAATGTACCAGCTGTCGGTATGTAACATTGTTTCAATAAAATGTCACATCGCGAATAATGTAAATAGAAAATTTCATTTATCGAATAACGAATGGAAAGATTAAAATTGAATTCAGACTTGAAATTGTGCCCAGGGTCGAAAGAAGTCCAACTTCGTCGTCTGAATTTCGAATACTGAGAAATTTTAAGAAAAATAATGCAAGTTATACAATTTCCTTTGAATAGCTCATTCCAGACGTACAATTTACTCGGGTGTTTGTACGGCGGAGCCGTGGATACGCGCGTGTATACACGAACGCATAAAGCAGTGGTTGTAACCACGCCTTTAGGTTCGCGGGGGGTCTTTGGCTACGGATATACATGGAACAAAGAAGAGGAACAGGACCTAAATATCACGCTGCTCGATTTCTGCGATTCGTTCCAGGAACTGATATTTTTAAAACGGTTGCATTCAAACGAATCGCTGCTCGTCTGCTACAAGTCTGCACTTGGTTGGCGGGCCAAACTCGAACCCTTCCGCCATCTCTACTCGGAAATGCCTCCGTGAATTTGTATATTAAATTATTGAAAATTTAGAAAACTAGGAAGGTGTGAAATTAAATTGAAATCCTCCCTGTTTAATTTCGCCATCCGTAGGTTAAGGCTGTTTTCTATTGTTCAGGTAATTCTCTTTAAACTCCCCCGACAATATTGCACAGCCGGAAGGACAGAAGGAAAAAGAATTCTTCTATTCTTAGGAGACACTCTCCCCACCATAATCGCGTTCCTCTTCTCTTCTTCCGTTCCAAGCAAAAGGAAATCATCGGATTTTATTTTTTGCTCTCGCTGCATTTTTTAACACCCACGACGACTAATGAAAGGCAATCAGCGTCGAATGCATCGCGATGTAAGTCATTTATCGATGCAAAAAGAACAGGGAATCACGGAAATTCCTGAGTGCATGCTCTGTTTCCAGTAGAAGGGTAAATATAGGACGTTTACTAAAGATTTCTTGCTAAAATTAAACGACGGAAGCGATCACGATAACGACCACTAGGAGAGGAAAGAATATCTTGACTATAACGTAAATACGACGTGCGTGGAATGATTCCAGTCGGGGAACCAAATAATTCGTACGATCGCACGCGACCGTTGTAATTAAAGTGCAACAAGGCATATTAATGAGACAGGATATCCGTTTTATTCTAGATCCTGTCAATGAGTTCTCACGAGACGCGTTTAACCCTTGAACAGCTGAGTCTGGGTCAATCGAAACTCAAACTTACAAAACATATACAAGAATACTAGCAGTGTAAAATTTAGAAAATGGAAGTAATATAAAATACAAAATTAAATTAAAATTTGGACTTTCTTCATAAATCCTTCCTTAATCCTTCTTGCAAATTTATCGTGATCTTTACTGTATCCACGATCAAAAGAAAGTTTCGAAAGCTCAACGACGACCCTAATTTACCCAAAAGCTCCCCTAAATTTTCCGCCTATCCTAAACGAAATATACCTCCCAGCATCTCGAGTTGAACGAACTTGCTCGTTCTGTGCAACACCCTTGACGCCTTTAGACTCCACTTACTAATTCTCTGCCCTTTGCACCCACGCACGTGCCAGGCTGCAGTCTAACGCAATAACGCGGTCGGAACCTTCTGTCGTGGGGGTTTAGCCCTGTTACCACGTGGTTTATGCGCCCGTTGGGCCCAGAAGGTGACGAGAACATACGTAAATTGCTACCGACATTACTTCCTGGTTATATTTAGGCCCGAAGGAAGATCGAGTTTCTGACGGGCTCGACGGTGCGCCGGAAAGTTCTGATAACCATCGAATCAGTGGGGGTACCCATCGACGATGGATCGACGTTATCTGATTCGACGTAGATATTTGGCCTCCTTTCACGTCGAATAAATATAGACGCGATTCGAGTGTCCCTTATTTTTCAGAGATCCCTTCGTGCTTTTTTAATGCACTTTTTCCTTTCGATGCTCCCTCGAGTAGCGTTTAAAGCTTCCTGGTGCCGGAGGATGTTAATGCAGGGCACGCGTGCAACCGGGAGATGACTGACACATGCGCGGCTGTGTACGAACTTGTCAAACTTAGTTATAGCAGAGACGAGGGAACATCTTGTAGGTAGGTGTGCGTGTGATTGATGCGATCACTTTAAAAGTCGTATAAAAATTGAATTTATGTTGCAGTCGGAACGGAAATGTGTATATATACTTTAACCCTTTATGATTCAGCGTATCTGCTATATTCTTCCGGGCGAAAGTGTGAAACATTTCAAGCCAAGTCTGAAAGTTTAACGTTCCTCGTCGAAAAAAGAATCCAAAACAAATCGCAGCTTCTCAGAACAATTTCTCATCGGCTTTTCGTATATTCTTATCAAACCATTCATCATTTTTCTTCGTCTCTAACGAGGCAAGAAGCTCGCACGCGTCCACAGGAATGGAGGGTATGACGGCACGGGCCAAGTCCGTTCTCCGGCTGCTAGCAAGAGGGTGTCTACTACTAGTAACTGTTGGTCGTCGACAAAAATAGCGCCCTCGAAGGCGTCGTACCTACGGATGCAACAAGCATTACCATCGACAGAAAGGAAGGAAGGGAGACGAGTCGGGATTTAGACACGACGTTCGCCCTTTGGCAAAGGGACGTTGTTCTACGCTCGAACGAGAAAAAAGGAGATCACGGTAGCTAGAGGAAGCTCTATTTCCGGTCTCTATATCCGAGGTGCACGACCCCCATGATCGCTGTTCGATATCTCGTCCCTTGATCAAAAATACACGCTTTGCTTTCTCAGCCTCTAGGAAGAAATCTCATTTAAAGCGTATTAAGATCCTTCCAAACATGCTTCAACTACCTAAGATTATAAACGATGGATCTTTAGATTTTTCAGGTAATCTTTAAGTTTTCGAGAGGCACAGGAAATCATTTATACGAATAAAAAATTCTCTTTCCTGCGATGTCTGATCGGAAACAAAGTGCATATAAGTTTTTACATGAACGAGATTCTGGAGGAAGTGGCAGCGATACGCGAATAGAACACACGGTCGCGTCAAATCGTGTGGTCAGCTGATCAGAAGCGGATTTCCTTCGGGAAGCTCTGTCGAGTCATGCATCAGATGAAAACAAGTAGGATTCTCGGTAATGATCAATCATGCAAACATTATTAATGGAAATTATCTAATTTTCATGCTAACGCAAAGAAGCTGGTTGATCGGGGGACAGACAATTTTAACCACGGTCAAATGAAACGTTCTCTTCGTAGCATGTAGGGAATGTTGAAAAAAGGACTCTTAAACGGTCCCCTTTTTTCGTGTGAATTCTAACCATCGAATAGGAGGTAAGCTCGCGAGTTATGCACCTCAAATTCGTCGGCGAAAAGAGATTAGCCCGGGTTGTATCGGACAAAAGCTCACCGGTGTGTTTCAGCCTCGAAATAGCAGCGTCGGGACGTCGACTCTCAGCTATCTCGCGTTCCACGGAGCAACGACACTTTTCTTCCTTTCCTCTCCGTCTTCTTCGTCTGCTCCTCCTCGTCCGGATGCACTTTAGTCCTCGCGAAATTTATAAAAATAAAATGCCTCGAATGTCCTCCGATTGGACAGTCGGAGATTCTTAGCGATACATGTACGATTAAATAAATAAATAAATTAGAAGATAGGTACGCGCGACCAAACGTCAATTTTTAATGCTCTTCATCCCTTGTCCCTCCATTCAGAGGAACACCGAACCAGTCGACGCGCTTTCAGCGACTGCACCACGTTGCAGTCGTTCCCTTCGAACGACGACGAAGCTCCCGTTTGTCCAGGAGCTCTTTTTTCTCTTCGCCGCTTTCCCCACCAGACTCTCTCCACTTTCCCCCTACTATTTTCTTCGGCTTTGGGGTGGAAACGCGCGATGAGACTTTGATGTACCTTCTTCGACAATTTTCTTACAAAGTTCATTCTTTCAGGGGTCTTTGATGTTACTTCTTCGACTTCTTAAATAGATTCTAATATTTCTATGATTTAAATTACTTGGCGTAATTATACTACGTTATTCGTGCTGCTTGTAATTACCTACTGGTGTAACGTGTTAATATATTCACTGCCCTGATAAATAATTAAGAAATGGAAATCTATATCGTCGCATGTCTTACCATGTATGGTTAATTCTACTGCAGCGTCTAATGTGTTAATCTTCTACTATGGCTGCCTCAGTAGAAACGGCCATGTGCAACAAGACGCGCAACTGGGAATTAGAAATTCAACTAAAATTGTAAAGGATTAAATCAAAGTGAAATCATCTTTCTTTTATTCATCGGAGGAGGATCAAGTCACTTTAAAGTATCACAATGTGTTTGAAGTTCTTAGCTACTTTCGTGTGCAACCATTAATCCTAATGTAGCCGATGCATTTTTTTTGGAAAGACATCAGCAAATGTGCATGTCAATGAAATTTTGTTTGTTCTTGTACACCGATCCCCACGAGCCATACTTCCCGCTCTTATTCGTCGACTGTTGCTGGAATCCTGTCGTTGTCTGGCCATTCCTTTCTTTCCTGTATATTAAAAACGATTATTAATTAACACGAATTAAGACAAATGTTTAATAAAAATATACCTAACGCCGTCGTGAGATCTTTTGTTCATAGTATCGTCGATGTTTGTGTACACCATTTTTGCTTCTCTTTTCTTTCTTCCGGTTACAATTAAATTAATTGAATTCAGTCTTTGAATCAGACACTAGGTTTTCTTTCAAAATAAAGTGCTGGTCCTTTATTGTATCACCTATAATCATGATCAATTTTATTTGAACTTAATAATTTTTTAATTTATTAACTACAATAATGGAAATTGTAGTAAGGCATGTTGAAGTAGCAAGTTTATTTTATTTAATAAAGGTACTCACTCTACGGCACGTGATGCAAATGAACAAGAACCAAAAGTTCTAAACGATTTGCAGTGTTACCGCGTCGACTCCCTTTGCGAGTACGGAGGTTTTTAGCAAGCCTAATAGAAAAATCAAATTTCAATAACATATCTTGGAGAATTTCGAACTCCATCTTTGGGAAGGTCAGAAAATACAGAATAACATATTTTAATGTTTAACTTCGATTTCTAAATAATTGGAATTTTAAATTCTTCTTTAAATACGTATACGAAAATTATTCGCACTTATGCGAGTAAAAGGCAAACAGGTTTCAAGGTTTCCCCGATCCCTCTTCGTGACTTTTAATCACGAATTTAAAATGTTACAATGGACGGTCGAAATGCAAATAGAAAACCTGTTTCCACGTCTGTACACTTACCTAACACTCGGTAAAAATCTCGGGATATTGCCTTGACAGTCCAAGACTTTGCACCTCATCGACACATAGGTGTTCTCGATTTTTCACGAAAAACTACGAGGTTCTCTTTGCTTCTAGCTAAACGTTTCGCGTTGCTCTCTTCAACACGAATCGATGATTCTGCTCGATTGAAAGTTGAATTTTAGCAAGGAACGTCTACACAGTGTCTTTAGCAGGACTACAGGTTCGTCGGTGGTTCCGTCGCCTTTTACATAGTCTCTGGATGTCCCCTTCCTTTTGCCGATCGCTAATATCGAGTGGGGATCGATCTCCACTTCCTCACACCATATCGCAGAATTTTTAATGCGTAATTGTGAAACCTGGATGATTCCGTTCGTCTTTAATGGGGTTTTTGGTACGTCGAAAGAAATGGTTCATCGAAAGCTGTGAATAAACTTTACAAACATCGATGCTGTTTTTTTTTTTTTAATTTCTTCAAAGTATATAAGTTAGGATCGAGTCTGATCAATTATATCGTATTTAAACTGAGTTCTTGAACTTGTTTACTTGAAAAGGAATGACCAATAGGTTCATTAATAATGTACATTAATTACAGAGAATAGTAATTCTTGTACAGGAAAGAATTACCCTATAAAATTTTCCTTAATTGCTTCGATTATACATGGAACGATGTATATTAAGAAGCAAAGAACACTTGTTTCTTATTCTTTTTTCAATCGTTTCGTGTTAGAATATCGAACGATGGCGGCTCGATGAATAAACATCGTCAGGACTATAATTCTTTCTACTCGTAGAAATCGAGTTAGATTCGGGTCAGAACTATTATCATTGACTCGAAAACAAAGTCTACGTTGTTTTTGGGCGTAGAAAAATTTCGAGAGAAACCCTCCTAACTGCTGAACTAACTTTAGTGTGAAGAATGGGATACCTAATGGTCGTAAAGGGCCACGAGTGGTTCTTCACATAAATCAGGGTAACATCAATCTTTTCAAGGCTCAAGCTGATATGTTCTTGAATAAAATTGTTGCAAATACAAGCAGCATGCAATTTCACGATACAGTCGTCTTTAGAGACTCACCCAAGGCGGTATAAATTATACATTCAGGGGAAAATGAGAAAAAAATAAAACGTGGAACATGTAACTAAAGGCAAACTAGAATCTGACGCAACATCGATCCATAGCGTCGTCAGAATGTTGTTTTAAAACAACCGAAATTTTTTTTTTTTAATTAATAAGGTTTGCAGTTTACAAGCTCCCTCGTTAATCAACCCGCAGCAGCGGTATTATTTTTTATCAATATAAATACGAATATTAACGATATCTTTCGCAGGTGATCAATTTTTTGTTCTGAACACCGGTCGACTAATTAATTTGTGCGAATGAAATTTGGGAAAAAACAAATGTTGTATTCTGAAAAAATTATTTACAAATAAATAAAATATACAATTTATAAGTGATATATAAAATCTGTCATATAGAGGATCCTATTTACTGGATGGATGTGTATCAGATTTATGTAAAACAGCATATAAATTTATTAAACCTATGATTATTTTATCATTGCAATAGAAATGTGGATATATATTTTTCATTTATCTAGCCTCCACCATATCACGTTGTTTGCTTGGATTCAGGCTTATTAATTCATTTGAACTTTCTGCCAATTCAGTGATACTGACCCTACCACGCTGTTTTACAAACTTTGCAACAGCTTCAAGTTCTCCCTGAGAGATATAAATGAATTTTCCTCTGTCATCGATGACACCAGTTAAAGTTCCAGTTGTTTGCAACTCCTGAATTCTATCTACTACACCAGCAGTCTTTAAGCCAAAATGTGCAGCTAAATCTTCAAGGACTACTACTTTATTGTCTTTGATGTATTGAAGAAATGATTGCAACAAATTTTCTTCCTCATCCTTGTTATCTTCTTCATAGCCTTCCTCCTCTACACTAAATGCTTCTTTCATTTTCAAATATTCCTCATGTTCCTTTCTTTCTTTCTCTTCTCTAGCCATCTTCTCTGCCTCTTCTTGTTTTAACTCTTCTTCGCGTTCTTTTTCATATTGCTTGTCTCTTTGTTCTTGAAGAAGCTGTTCTAGCTTTTTACGTTCTTCCCTTTCCTTATCAGCTGCTTCTCTCTGTACCTTCTTCTCTGCTTTAGCTGCTAATTTTGCTCTCTTCTTTGCACCTATCTTATGATCAGGTACAACTACTTTTTCATCTACCTCGTCAGTACCCTCATTTCCAGATGCATCCTCATCATCAGCCTCCTGTTCATTGACATTAGCTTGCATACGACGTCTAGCATTTCTTTGACCCGCTGCGCGTCTTACTGGTCTACCCTGTGCAACTCTTTCTGGGGCGCTCGTTTGTTTTCTCCGTGTAGCTATAAATGTTCATAGGCAACTAATTTTAATATGTTCTTGTGAAATATATAGAAACGTTAGAATGATATTTATAAAAATTGTCCAAACATCTGTTTCATAACAAACGTAAAGGTTAGAGATAGGTTGGTTTACAATGAGAAATTGATGCTTTGATCTTAACGATAAGTGAATTGCAAATATGTAGAGGACGTACCGGATCTTCGTCCTAAGAATACTGTACAAACAACAATCAAAACTATGATTAATACAGCAAAAGAAACTAATAACGAGACGTCCATTTTTTTGTTTTATTTTCCTAAAATTTTCCTCGATTCTCGAGAAAATTGACATCGATAATGCTCAGTGGCGCCACGTATATGCGAACGTAGCGATTGCTTTCGAAGGTGACGTGTTGCTGTGTATAGTTCTACGTAAAGTTTTACTTGCTGTTTCTTTTGCTGTGCTATTAACAGCACTGCAATTCGATAAACATGTTAAAGCACGGAAGTATATTTATTATTTTTCTGTGCATCCTCGAATATGGGACTGGTCTTTACTTTCACATTGCTGAGACCGAACGAAAGTGTTTCATCGAAGAGATTCCAGATGAAACGACAGTTGTAGGTACGTGAAACGTACATGTTTATAGAGATATTGTTAATTGTCTTTGTTGTGATTTCTATCGTAATAAGGTTTTATTCTTTCTCTTGTAGTGAATTATAAAGTGGAATTATATGATCCACGAACCGGTGGATTTGCACCGAGCAGCCCTGCAATGGGAATGCACGTGGAAGTTCGTGATCCTGACGATAAAATGATACTTTCTAGAGTATATAGTTCAGAAGGAAGAATTTCTTTCACTTCTCACACACCTGGAGAACATATTATTTGCTTATATTCTAACAGTAGCTCCTGGTTCAGTGGTACTCAATTGGTATAAATATAAACACACAACTTTAAATAACTTAAATGATTTGTAATAGTTTAGTGTAACTAACATAATTTTATTTGGCAGAGGGTGCATTTAGATATCCAAGTGGGTGAACATGCTATTGACTATGCTAATACAGCTCAAAAGGAAAAATTTACTGAACTACAACTGAAGATACGTCAACTTCTTGATCAAGTAGAACAAATAACGAAAGAGCAAAATTATCAAAGGGTAATTGATAATTCTGTAATTCCTGAGTATTTCATATTAGATGAAGATTATATCTTATATTGTTTATTTTCAGTATCGAGAAGAACGCTTTAGACAAACATCTGAAAGCACACATCGTCGCGTATTCTGGTGGTCTCTTGCTCAGTCTGTAGTTTTAGTAATCATGGGTGCATGGCAGATGAAACATTTGAAGAGCTTCTTTGAGTATAAGAAATTAGTATAAGAACAGAACCAATTATTCTTAAAATATTAGTCATTTTATAAATATCAGTTCCCTCATTATGTCAAACCTACATTATAATTTATTAAAGAACACAAATTGGAATATGAACACTGGAATGACCCTTTTTCAAAAGATTTGTACTTTCCATATGTACATTCACATATGCGCAGTGATCGGTGTATTTAATAATGATTAAAATTTAAATGTAATAAAAATATTATATGAAGTGAATTTTCGTTGTAATAAAATATTAATTTTCAAAAATACTATGTAATAAAGGTGGTTAATTTTAATTCCTAAAGTGACTATGGATGCAAAAGACTGGACATTTTTTTATCTGGAGGGTTCATTATTTTGGTGATTCCAGACACGGCTAAATCGTAGTTGGTCTCGAGGTCTCGAGCCCCAGAGATGCTATTCTATAAATGTATCATCCGTGGTTAGACTATTGCAATGGAAATGCGGTTTTATATGTATATACATATACCGCAGTTCACCAGAATCCATGACTACGACGCGCAGGTTGGAAAATGGTGGGGGAACGCAGCGAGCTCTCCGCCAATCGCTTTCCACTTCGTTTGGGAGTATCGCCAATCAGGGCGAAGATGCGCACTGGAGATGCGCGAAGAACGAAAACTGGTCTTTTCGCAGTTATGGACTCTGGTGAACTGCGGTATACATTTAAGGTTTCTTTGCGTGAAATGTGAACAAAATGGTGGAGACAAGCATACATATGAACTTGTCTTTACTTAGTTAAAAAACGTATACCCATATCCACGTGAGATGATAGGAACTACGATTGAAACTAAAGATTTAATTGACACTGATGTACTTCAAAAGTATTTGACGAAAGGACTTTCATCAATTAATGTATAATATTGTGAAACTAAAAATTTGCTACAAAATTGAAGTTTCAACATGTATTGTTTGCGACAAGCGTTTCGTTGCGGAACTCGACTGATCCTTACGAAAAATCCTACGAATTTGTATCGGCTTCCACTGATTAATGAGGAAAGATTTAAAATCAATTTTCACAAACGAATACATATTCGTTCTAAAACAAGTCTTTGTGAATCTGCAGAAGAAAACAAAGAAGAAGCCGATAATAAACAGGTGCTTGGAAAGATTGAAGGAAAGCTGAAGGTGATGTTTACGTGTAAAATATGTCAGTTAAGAAGCGGCAAAGTTATATCAAAAGTGGCATATGAAAGAGGAGTAGTCATAATTCGTTGTGATGGTTGTAAAAACAATCATTTAATTGCTGATAATCTTGGATGGTTCGGAGAGTTACAGAAGAACAACAACATTGAAAAAATATTGGCAGCAAAGGGAGAAACTGTTCGGAAAGTACTAAACGATGTCGATGGATATATCGAAGTTATCGAAAAAGCAGAATACGATTTATTACAACATAATATTAAACGAAAACAGGATTTAATTGAACAACAAAATAAGATAGATAGCCATGATAATAAAAACCCTGGAACTTTAGAGGAAAAATAGGATGTATTATCCGAAGAAACTACTTTATTTTGAAAATAAATTGGTGAAAAAATGTTTAAGCAAGTGTAAATATTTCGAAATTTATTACATACTTTTTATGCTTTTTATACTACGTTAAACTTAAAAGTATACATGAAAAAAAATAATATCCAAAGTTTGGTAAATATCGAAAGACTTATAGATTTGTTTTTAATCCTTTAACCCTTTCATACCGGACGGGACATATGTTGTCCCAGTCTGGAAAATTTGATGTGTAACTTGTAACATTATTGTTGTTGATGGTGCGTCGTTATGGGATTGTTTATGCGTTTCTAAGACTTTCATCCTTTCAGATTTCAGAGAAATAACTGTTCCCGATAATGAGATGTACTCGAACTGATTTTTTCGCCGTATTGAAAGGGTTAAATTATAGACATTAAAGGAATTAGCACTGTCTCTATTGTATGGATGCATTAGATTTCTTTAGTTGTAGCAAATGTAAATACTAGTTCTAATATGTACAACTTGATAAAAAATATATATTCTTGAATAAAAGTTCTCAGATCTTATAAAATTCTATAAAACTTGCCTCTATGTGCAATAAAATAACAAACATACCAAGTTTTTATGGAAAAACTTGATTGTGATATTAATGCAGTTTCACTCTAAAAAATGGCATACCTTGGCACATAAAGTTTATATGGCAAGTTCTAATTGACAAAGTGTTGAATACCACTGTAAATTTCAATCAATATGTGTATATATAATTTATTTTTTTATAAAAATGTTTTACTAAAAATATATGGAACATAATTAAATCTTTTATAAATGTGTTTATATAATACATATGTATGTATATAAAATATATAGTAGTAGAAACAAAAGGAATGACTTGTTTCTTCCTTATCATGCATATATAAACTCTATATTTCGAAAAAATTATATAGATTTTAAATATCTCTGAAAGCACAACTTCTGTTAAACTTATTAACAGTATTATAATAAAGAGCTATGAATAGTTATGATAATAATAATATTCAAAATTATCAATCTCTAAGTACACCAAATGTTGGAATGACATGCAAATTTAATTTTTAAACTTTCACTTTTTCATTAAACTCTACTTCACGATGTAAGGCACTATATCTTTTTATAGCAATCAGTCGTTTTTATATTTTTAAAATACTAATGCTGTATTTTTTAAAACCTATCATATTAATAAATTGTATAATCGTATATCTAATATTTACTGAATATTTTTAAAATTATCTAAATATTTAAAATCGTTTTGTTTCTAAAATAATTATTTCTATACAATTGACAATGATTAAGAAGACTAGTATTTCTTAAACTAATCTTTGCACAAAACAAATGTCATTTCATTCCTAATTTTATATGACGAAGTTATAGAATATCAACGTTTAACTTTTTAATTATTTAAAACGATAGAAATGAACCTATCCTAGTCATAACATAAACTAGTATGCTATTATTTTTGAAAATTAAGAATCTCGGAAGTAAATATAATTCTTATATTTAGAGAATTGAATTGCTAATTAAGTGAAATTATTTAAAATATTTCATACCCTTTTTGGTTTTGACACGATCGCATATTCACTATTATTAAAGACTTTATGCTTTGGACCCACGGTACTGCTGCCAGAAGCAGACTCAGAATGATTTGATTTCTTTCTAATAACACCATATCCAAGGTGACTATCATCTGCCAGCCTCACAGCAGACATGTCCTCAACAATATCATAGTTTGACCATGCAGTATTGGTATCAGCTACAGAAGTATTTATAGAAATGTTGGAATGTGAGGTTTGTGATGCACCACTAAAATTTCCGAACTTATATGCGCATTTCTGACTGAGCTTGGTTGCAGAACCAAAATGCTCCAGTTTATCATAATCTGATTCATCACTGGACTTGCAAGGTATCTGGCTTATCGCGGAAGTAGTCACTACTGGACTATCTGTAATACTAGACTTACTCTTTGAAGAGCTTTGAGAAGATACAAAAGGCATCATAGTTTCATATTGGAAATCATCCTCATTTTCTTTATTTTTGTCATTATGTAATAACGAGTTTGCTCTCTCAGTGTGATGTATGTTATCGATTCCATGTGTTTTCCAAGCATCATTTCTCACTTCTACTAGATCATAAGGATGTTTCTCTTCATCATTAAGGATAGAACTACCAATTGTTTTTTGCGATAATTCCGGCGAGGTATCCAATGCCTTATATTCTCCACATGCAGATGAGTCAGACAATTCAGAGTCTACATTTTTCTTGTCTAACAAGCCCGTGAAAACACATTTACGCGGCGGCTTTGCAGGTTTTGATCTTCCAATAGATGAAGATGGTTTAGTAGATACACTGCTATCTACATTTGAAGAAGAGTTTGAGTGTTTCTGAGAATTTTGTGGTGAAAAGTCGATATCAATTAAATTAGAAGAGCTATTTGGAGAAGGAGGTAATGCTGCTCTGGAACCAGCCTCCATTGATAAGGCAGCATGATACTGAGCATCATTACAGTCAATGCTTGGATTACTTTCTTCGTTCAGTAATTTTTTCATTGATCTCATTTTAGAGTACATGCATCGAAAGATCTCTTGCTGGCTGCTGTGTTCCAAGCGAAATGAACCTTCTCCTGATTCACATTTTCTTCCTGCTTCAAAAATAAACTTTCCATCTTTGTAACCATATCTTCTAATGTATCTATATGGCCAAGTGAAAAGGACTACATCACCATCCATTAATTTAATATCAACTGCAGCTACCACAAGGGTATAATTTCTGGTTTCTAAGCCGCATCGTTTAGATGCATCTGTTTCTACAACTTTGACAGAAAATACTCCTTCTCCACTTGTACAGTATAGATCATTGTTTTCCTCTATTGTTTGATTAGATACACTATCTTTAAATGCTACTAATTGAAATGCAGTAATCCAATGACTCATATCTACTTCTGAATAACATCCAAAATAATGAATCCCTGATTTTGTCACAACCTGCATACAAAAGAAACCAAAAAGAGAAGGTTTAGTACTTTACATCAAATGATTCCTAGAATCCACAAGTTCTTACTTACAGTAAATACATGGGACTGATTACTGGGTGCAATTTTAATACATGCATCTAATGTAATGATGCGAGGAGCATGAAGTTGCAATACAGCTTCTTCTTGATTATCATATATTTCCACACGTTTGATCCCATAATTGCTAGTTCTAAACAACTGACAGAATCTTTTGTGCCATGTTTTCTGGAAAAAAAGTAATACCACATTTGCCTTAACGTCGGTAAATTAAACTTATCTAACTGAAGTGAATGTGTAACCTACATATTGCGAATAAAATCGTCGATACGAATGAAAAATGATAGGTGTTAAGATTCGATTTACTAACAAATTATACAGATCTGAAATATCTGGAATTTTATCGCGTGTGCTTTGTAGGTTATTCCTGTACAATTACCGATAACGAACAATCATCAACCGACGTACTGATGGACAAGAATACTCGAGAGAAAAGAAATCATAGGAAAAGACTACTCGATGTTGGATTATAACTGGAAATATCCATTTATCTGTACCGACGCGACGTAAAACCAACCTTGAGTTGGCCTAACATGCCCTGTGGTGGTAACAGCAGGATCCCTTGTATCAAAGGTTCTTCGGGCTCCATCGTTCCCGCGAAACATTAGCAATTGAACGTTTCACTAGGATCGTGCCTCTGTACCTTGTGTAATTTCGAAAAAGCAAATTTTTCCACTTTCACTCCCACTTTTCCCCGTCCGTGCTATTCCTCTCACTGGTTCGCCTCTGCTTTCGAGTCGTGCTCTATCGTTTACGCTCGTTCTGACAGTTTTCTCGAAGACATTCAACCCATCATAATGTACGGTGCTTGACATTTCACAAAAGCTTGGTGCCCGACGTGAACGTCGACTAGGATTTCCGGGAGAAAAAGTTCTTCTGTATGTGTGTACGTGTTCCACGAATACCGTCGTGTGCGATATTACACGTACACAAGGAGTACAGTTCCAGTGTACGATTCCCGACGCATTCGGAGCCAACTGTCGTCGAGTAATAGAGCCTACTGAGGCACGCACGTCTTCCGTCCGTACGATGTCGCCCGAATTGTCACGAACGCAGAGAAGCGCAACTATTCTCGAGATAACTCGTTCTCCTCTTGTTATTTCAATTTGTCAGCTTCTCTAACTTTGTTTGCATCGAAATTTTTATCGTACACCGTACGTTTCTGTGCCAAGCACCTTTCGTACATTTGATCTACCGCCTTGGAATTCCACTGCAAACGCCGAGAATTGGATAGAGGTGATAGTTCAAATTCTATCCGTTCGTCTCCTCCTACCGACTTCCGCTTTTATATTTTTTTTTTACAAAACATCACGTAGCGAAAGATAAAACGTGAAGGTTCAATTCTTATGATTATAAATGTATTATGATTGTAGATAATATTAGATCGATGATTAAACCGGACAGAGGTAATAGTTCTTCCGGTTTATATAGTTAAAACAGTACTGAACGTTTAATTTTTTCGATTATAAACGTATCATGATCGCGCGTAGATGATAATGTTAGATACTCTGAAACAAAAATATTTAAAGTACTAGTATATGATTGATTTCTGTTCGCGCGCATAGAATAAGCGTGTAGTCATCGACTGGAAGAATGGAACAAAGAACGGTATGGAAGAAAGGAATCTCAAACGCGTCGACGACGAAGAGTAAAGTTGCAAAGCAATGCTTGATCATTTTTTTTTTTTTTAATCGATTAACAGTGACTACGCGTAGGTTGGAGCAATGTAACCGACGCCGTCAAGTTTATCTCTGATTTCGCTATACGGAAGTGGGTACTCCGACCGATATGAAACAATACAATTGTCTCGTGCCAGTGACAAACGCACGCGGACGAGGTAATAACGTTACTCGTCGATACCTTACACGATATACTCTTTGCAAGTATTTTTCGAGAAATGTTCAAAGTCCAATCGTTGATATATAAAATTTTTCAAATTCTTACAAATCTTAATTTTATCTCCATGAGCTACGTATTAGAATATTAAAAGCGCGTCGAATATCGTAATCAGCTTGGAAATGCACGCAACTAGGCTAAACAATGTCCTGTTCCAATTTCACGGGGATTCGATCGTTCCTTAATAAGTTATTGAAGAATTGACCTTTCCTGCGATTCGTGGTGCATCGTGATCACATTAGGCCTAGTCGGCTCGTGATTGCGCTCTGACGAAGTTGTAATAATAGAGAGTCGAAACTAATGAAGTGATATATTATTCACAGGTGTCCTCGGTTATATAGCTTTCGAACGATACTAACGTTATTACTTCGTTTGTCAATAGAGATGTTATCGGTTCTTTTTCTTCTTTGGAACATCAATTGTGGGAATAGTTTTAATGAATTTCCATCTTTGATTACCGCGAACGCCACCATGGGTACGAGTGTTTTGTCGTCTTTAAACTATTGGTATCAGTTTTGGTTGGTGGTGTGTTATGTATATAATTAGTATCACTTAAATTCTGACCACAACTGATACACGATTTTTGGGAAAAAATCAGGTAAAAAAAACAACTGAAATCTGTTCGAACAGCGGTGGTCGTAGACAGAAGTTTCTTCAGCAGTAAAGAGGAGTACCGAAACATCGCGGGGGTCATGTACGACCTGATCACGGACGCGGTGAAAAAGGAGACGCAAGTAGGTGGTATCGTTGTACGTGTGTTTCGCGACGGGAATGTCAATTTGCGACAAGGTAAGTGGCTCGAATGTTTCGATCTTGAAGATTAATTACTCGTCAATTCTTTTACTTCTTCTTTCGTTCACGTTCACCAAGATTACACGATACTTTTGTCCGTGGCGACCTGTTATTTAACGTGGCGTTTGCACGAAACGGCGCGAAAGGAGGAACTCATACATCTCGCAATAACAGGTACACCATGATGGAAATTACACCTTATAGTTGAGTAGCACATTAAAATCGTAAGAAATCTTTCCAATTAGTAATTTCATTAATCGAAGTGTCATTCAATTGCACAGTAGACACAGGAGAAGTTGCTTCACCGCTTCGTCAAAATGATTTTTTTGACTTCTTGAAAAGTATTCGTTCTGTTTGAAGATCCAGATTGCCCTAGAATCCCAGAAAACGACGGAGTGAGCATTCCCTTCATCATGCCCGGAGAGGAACTGTCCCAGATCTTTCTCGACCTGAGGATGATGAACATTCCGTCCTGGAACGTGATCAACATCCTCCACGACGATACGTTCGGTGATAAGAATAGCTACTAGTCGAAGATAACGTCGAACGATCCTTTTATCGCTAATCATGCTTCTGTTTACGGTTCTTCCTACAGATAGAGACTCGATCGGCAGAGTGATGAGGGCCATATCGGACAAGCTACCGAACAGACAATTAAGTTTGGTCTCTAGGGCGATCTTCACGTTGAGACACAACGACAGAGAGAGAGAGAGGAAAAATTCAGTGAAAAAGGTGTTGGATGATCTTCACGTGGATCAACTGGGACGATGTTTCCTGGTGATCGCCGCGGTTGACATAGTCGCGGATGTCATGGCAGTGGTAATTTCCGATTCAACTTCGAAACTTAGTATATTTTCGGCGCTTGCAAAAGGTTCACGAAATGTTTCTATTTCAAAGGCAAAATCCTTGAAGATGGTTCATCCAAGTAGCCAATGGTTGTACGTGATCACCGACACTGCTTCGCAAAACATGACCAACATAACATCCTTCGTCGACTTGTTAGCCGAAGGAGGAAACGTAGCCTTCATGTACAACGCGACCGATAACGACGGCTTCTGCGAAGTAACGATCGAATATTCTTAGAAAATTACCCATTCAGGGTTGCTCGATCTATCAGAGAATAAATTGAATTCTTTCGAAAAATAATCACCTAATTAACTTTTGACATCTCGAGCAACCCTTCCACCTTGTTTCCTTTAAAACGTATAACAAATAACTGTTAAAAGATTCTTGCTTCAGGTTAAACTGACGTGTTACGTGAAGAAATTGGTTCGAGCGTTGTCCAAAGCTCTGGAATACTCTTTGATAAACGAAATGGACATGTCTAAGAGGGTTGAGAAGGTAGACTTCGAGATGATGAGGTTGACGAAGCGCGAGAGGCGACAGGAGATCCTGACGAACGTTAGAGTCAGTAAATTTAAAGGCGTGTCTTTTATGAATGTATTTAGTCGACGAATTACAATTAAAACTGCGTTTTTATCAGATACATCTTTCTCAAAGCATATTCGATTCAGAGGCTGTGTGCGGTAGATGTCCGTTGTGGAAGTTTGCCTCGTCGTTAACATGGGGAAATTTTTTCTCCCATGATAAAAACGTGGCTCACCTGTTGGACATAGGCACATGGACCCTCGCTTTCGGTGTTAATCTGACGGACGTGATTTTTCCGCACGTCGCTCATGGATTCAGGGGCATTAATCTACCGATCACTACGTATCACGTGGGTAAACACTAAGTTTCCATTTTTCTGAAATATCCTCGAGTTTCTACGGAATATTAGAAAGTATCGTTTCAGAACCCACCATGGCAGGTGATTTCAACGAGCGAATCGGGCGAAAGATCGTACGAAGGATTAGTTTTCGACGTGATCAATCATCTGAGTAAGAAATTGAATTTCACGTTCACCGTGATCACACCGGAATTGGGGAACAATCCAAAACTCTGGAACACCTCGCGATTTGCCAAACTCGGAGAGGTAAGGATACATCCGTACTCTTTTAAGTAATTCTACAATTTTGATAAATTTTCTCGCGCAGAAAATCAAAGAAATGACGATGTCGAACACGAGAAGAGTGCCTAGAGATGTGATCAACTTGGTTCGAGAGAAGAGGGTGCTGTTGGCAGCCTGTGCCTACACCGTGAACGAATACGAAAAGGATATGATCAATTTCACCGTGCCTATATTCGTGCAGACCTACAGTTTCTTAACTTCCAGGCCCAGACAATTGTCCAGGGCGCTATTGTTCGCCTCGCCGTTTACTAAAGAGGTACGTGAACCTAACTTGTTTGAAGATAACGAAAAATAAATGACAAGATCAGCTCTTGTTTCTAAAAGTACTCGCTAATGTTTCGACATTCCAAAGTGTGATAACGATAGCAGAGCTATTAATAGGATGTTCAGAATGTTTGGTCCTAAATACCGGGCTCTTCCCAAACAATTAATCGCACTTTCTTTGCTCGCCTTTCAGACATGGGCCTGTTTAGCCGTGTCCATTATCATAATGGGCCCGATCTTGTACCTGATTCACAAGTACAGCCCGTACAGCACCAAGGCCTCGGGTCTGAACTCGTCCTGGCAGTGTGTGTGGTACGTGTACGGGGCGCTTCTTCAACAAGGTACCATTTCATTACCCGTTAAACTGCCTCCACTTCTCTTTCGTACGTGAACATTCACCCGATTGGAATTCGTGTTCGCTCCCGGCACCCGACGACGACCGCGTAATTAACGGCTTGTAAACTTACGAATTTTACCAGATGCGCGTGACAGAGATAATTCTATTTGCACAGTGATAATAAAAACTGTTGACGAGCATGCGAATGTTAACGTTCAATTTGATAAAAAATAAACACGAAGGATTATGATTTATATGGAATGTTTCAGGAGGAATGTATCTACCCCAGTCGGACAGTGCACGAATGTTAATTGGTGTGTGGTGGTTGATCGTGATGGTCGTGGTGGCAACCTATTCCGGAAGTCTGGTCGCTTTTCTCACATTCCCGAAAATGGACGCGTCCATCTTGACAGTAGAGGATCTGGTGGCCCGCAAGGACAAGATAACTTGGGGTTTCCCGAACGACAGCTTTCTTGAATTATATCTTCGAAACACTGACGAGGAGAAGTATCAGATTTTACTGTCACACGCGAGTAGACACAACGACACGGAGGAAGAATCATTGGTGGAAGGTGTTAAACAGGGAAAACATGCTCTGATCGATTGGAGAAGTTCCCTCAGGTTTATAGATAGCTGTTTAATTGGAATTTACCTGGAGATGTTCGTTTGAAATTAACCAGCTCGATGAAATGATAGGTTCTTGATGAGGAAGGATTTGCTGCTGACCGGAGGGTGCCACTTTTCTCTGAGCGCTGACGAGTTCCTGGACGAACCGATCGCGATGATCATCCCCCAGGATAGCCCATATTTACCCGTCATCGATGCGGAGTAAGTGACAGTCGTTTCTGGAACATCTTGATTAACGGTCTATAACTGTTACTTGAAGACACTTAGTCTATCTATAAATTAAAATTCTCGGAACCAACTTGAGTATTTAACGGCGTAGATTGCATCGAATGCAGGAGTCCGGTCTGATGAACAAGTGGATCTCGGAGAGGATGCCGATGAAAGACAAATGCTGGGAAGTGCCAGGTAGTAATCAGGCGGTGAACAAACGGAAGGTGAACGTTGCTGATATGCAAGGGATATTCTTCGTGCTCTTCATGGGTAATTCTGAAACATTAAATAGTGCAACTATTAGAGACCGGTCTACTGCACTTTGATTAATAAATCTTTTTTATCGTTTCAGGTGTCACGTTGTCCTTCTTGTTTCTATTCCTGGAGCTCTACTGGCACAGACGCAAGATATCAAAGGAACGTAAATTGATCCGACCGTTCGTCTCTTAAAATTTTATTCCTAGGATACGTATAGTTATGCAAATTGTTTACCGCCTTAGATGGTTTTCTCCTCGAATAAACGAACCAGTCCTACGTTATACCTTCGGTCATTTATTTCGTCCTCCCTTCTCCAGCGAATCACTATTTTCTTCGCGTCGATTACCATTCGGTTTTTGCATCGATAAAAAGAACCGTGCTTGGCACCAGTCGACGCCACCGGAAGACCTAAAAATCCTTGCTCAATCCCGTCATCCGACTTCCTCGAACCTTTTTTTTTCCTCCGGCCATGGTGAACGGCGCGAAGTGGCAATCGTTTTGCCGATTTTCATCGGTAATTACCTTCGAGAAATACAAAGCAAGCGCGAAATAATTCTTACCAATGAAATGCCGATCCGTCGATGGTCCACGGACGTTTACGCCACATTTGCAATTACCATCACGAACGAACGGATAATTTGCGGGTTACGGACGACACCGGATATTGCGTGGATATCCACGCAACGTTCGACGTTGACGATCGATCCTTTTCCATGATGGAAATCTGCATCGATTTATACTCGTATGAAAATTCTAGCGATGCTTTGTAACTTCGTAAGTCGAAAAATCTATGCTGCTGTTTTATCGATAAAAATCATGGAATTGTGTAATACCTTATCCAGATTCATTCTCGATGATAGCAGAAGAAAATTGATGCTCGTGTCGTCTCTGAACAAGTATTTCGTTAGTTCGTTCATTGTTTCGCTAAGCTGCTAATTTCACTGGAAGACTTCGTATTTAATAAGATTAAGCAAGACCAACATGACGCGTATGATTCAGTTGTTTCTTGTTACGTTACGGTGGAAGTTGCCACAACTTGTTACTTTATTAAGATCGCACCCAGAAGAATGGGATATTACACCTGTGCGAACACTTAGAGTGTAAAAAAAAAGGTCGGATCCTATATTACATCTAGAAACAATGAACTCGTTGAGATTACAAGAATGAAATTCATCCATCTTGACTAAAATCGATCAACAATTCTTACGTTCATAAATCTTCAAAATGCAGTGAAACCTATATTTACAATCTGTCGTACATTAAAAAATTATTAGCGTATTTTATTCATAAGTGCACGAAGTTGAATTAATAATAAAATAAAACAAAATAAAATAAAACAGTTCTTCCTTTTTTTGATTCCAAAAATTAGTCTAAGCGATTTGTATCAGAGTCCTCTCCTCCTTCTTCGCGTTTCCATCCTCCAAGGAAGCTGTAGCCCTAGCATGGAATCGGAGGAGGAAAGAGAAGGGCGGACGCGCGATATGACGGCGTACATAGACACGGGTTTATCTACCTGACGACCTTGCCGTTTAAAAAATCCAAGAGTGGCCGGCAGGGCCTGGAGCGGGCGGCGTGCACCATCCGCCAGCGAGCCAGTTCCGACGTAGAGCGCAGACGACTAAGACTAATCCTAATAGAGCTGTCGGTCCGTTTCCGCAGCAACGTGTGCGTCGTGTTTCATCAGTGAATCGACAACAATCGAACGATCGTTTTCCATGCTCGTTATTTATTAACCGGTATCGATATCGTTCGCCAGTGATCCAAGCAACCGGTCGCGATTAACATGGAAGCGCGGATGTCCTGGCTGATCCTGCTGCAGGGTACGTATGTATACGTTTAGGTATATCTGTTCACCCTTGCTATTTCAGCAACGAGTAATTTTCATATTAACAGAAGAAAATTGAGGAATAAAAATATTTTTATCAAGTATTTAGAATTATGAATAATAAGAATAATGAAATATACCTTGTAGGAGATTTTGTTGAAAAGAAAAATGCAGGCTTTTCGTTCGTTTCTCATTGAAAAATATTCGTTCGAGCAGTGTCGTCTGTGCTCGTCCACGGCTACGACAACGTGGGGTTCGACGGCTGGTATCAACCGGTTCCGCATCGGCCGGTCGACATCATCACGGATGTTATTAACGACCTAGGCGTGAGGATTCTGCAGCAGTACACAGCCCACGGGAACGTTGCATTCTCGCCGACAGGGGTTGCCTTCGTCCTGGCAGCGCTCTACGAGGGCTCGGCAGGAAGAGGCAGGCAACAGATAGCGGATGCTTTAGGCCTGCCACGAGACCGGCAGATCACCAGGATCGGTTTTCGTGATATTCATCGGAGACTGAGGGTAAGTCGATTAGATCTGTTGCGTAAGACGAACGAGAAAATCTGCCAGAACGAGAGGCGAAGGTTCATTTGAAGCCTGAACGCGCAGTTTCTCCTCTTTAAGTGGCGATTTCGCTCTCGGTCGATCGATCTTTTCGAACGAATTTCGTAAGAAACTCGAGCGCGACGATCCATGACGTAAAAGTAATTTATTTCTACGTTTCAAAGACGTATCTGAACGCGAACGGCTTCCTTGGTGGTTTGACCCTCAATCAAGAGAACACCAAACTGAGACCCGAATACGAGGACATTCTGAGGTTCTATGGATTCGATCTGTCCATACCTGAGGAGGAAATGAACGAAACCACCTCTGTACCCGAAACGACTACCAATTCGATGACGGAACAAACTATGACGGAGACGGTTCCTGACGAAACTACCATGGTAATGACCAGTCAACAAGGTTCTGAAACACCGATCTCGACTACACCATCCGTGGAAGTATTCGGGATGACGATGAACACTGAAGATGTTCAAGACAGATTCACTCAAACTACCCCTTCGGGTACTACTCTGACCGATGTCACTAGTGGTACTACTATACCTGAACCAACTATGACACCATCTGAAGAGACGACTACCATTGTACCAGAGGTTCCTACAACGATTCCTCCTGATGATTCTTCGACCACTACCGTAAACACTGTTCAGCCTACAACGACTGCTCGATCGTCAAGTATGAATGAAGAAACTTTGACATTACTATACGTTATATCGCTTCCTTCGACTGTACTACTGCTTCTACTCTAGCTCCAACCACGAGTCCATCAACGATGATGGAAGGAGATTCAGGATCAACCAGTGTTGGTAGTCAGACAACCGATTCACCTATCACTAGCACCGGGTCGGATTCTGGTGTTACTGAACCCATGCCGGAGTCAACGACCACGTCAGCGACCACGTCAACGACGATTGGTACATCTACCGTGTCGATTACTACGGTTATGGAAAGCACGACGAGTTCGACGATCCCGACGCAGACAGGATCACCAGCTGTAGATGCAAATACCGTTTCAACGGGCTCCTCGAGCAATCAGTCTGTCTCGAACGAGATGGGATCTACCGATTCGCCAGTCACGACGGCCATCAGCACAGGTGAAACCGGGTCGAATGAACAGTCGACCACTGTACCCTCCACTATGAGCGGCACGATCAATCGAAGGAAACGTAACATCAGAGGCCCGAGGGGATTCTTCTCCAGTTATCCAGGTTTGGGAACAGGCTCGCTAGTTTTTTTATTACCCCGTCACGATGATTGACGAGATGGATCGATACGATTGATCGATAACAGATCCTGTTACGCGGTATCGAATCGTTTCTTCGAAATTTAGCACGGAGGATATTAAAGAATAATTTTCTTTCCTTTTTATTGAATTCTAGATGAAGGTATCTGGATGCAGGATCTAGGCATCTGGAAGCCCTATTCCACGAGCCAGAACGAGGCGTCCGTCAGAGACTCGACGGAAATATCATTTCTGGTGAACGGATGTGACGTTTCATCGGTCACAGCTACCAGATACATCGCTGTTTTACCATTCGCTTATTTCCCATCGTTGCACGCGGTTGCCCTTGAATTTCCTCTCGATGTAAGAGCCAGTTTTCCACGAACTAATGTTCATCATTTCTTTTTTGTACGTGACTGTTTCCCGTTCCAGGATCCTAGGTACAATATTCTGCTGATGATGGCCACAGACAGGCGGGACACGTATAGGCTGGCCAGAGATCTTGGTGGGAAGTCATTAAGGTTGCTGAGGAAACAATTACAGGCCACTTGGGTCAGGGCCACGATACCGTCCTTCATGTTACGTGGTTTTGTCACTTTGACGTCCTTCCTGCAGAGGGTATGAACATCATTCTGTTGCATGGCCTCGTTAAATGTAACCATTTTTGGTCGAATAAAGGGCTATATTATTGAATTAGCCTAGGTGTTACTTTTCTATTTTTCGAAGACTCTCGTTTAAACACTTGAACGTCTAATTTTAGAAGACTCACGTTTAGTTACAAAAGGGTTAATCATCGATGGATCCTCAACGGACCAGTGAGAATAGTTTCATTGAACACAATATTTCCCGGCGCACGTTGCTCGATATTTTGCCATTAGTCTCGGACATTAAATTCCTAATTACTTAATCGCGTTAGCTCGAGATCTTGAGTGCGCTTTCCGCTTTTCAACCATGGTTGCCTTCCACGAACCAACCTATCGGTACACGTGGCCTTCTTGACGACACGTAATTGACGATAATTCGAAAGAAACGCCACCGGTAAGGGGGGGGAGCGAAACGCGAAAAATGAGAATTGCCTAATGGTCGTAATTCAGAGATAGGTACCATTCCGTGAGTTTTATGGGCTTCGCCGGACGTTCCCGTTGGTAATGAGCATTCTTAGGACTGTTTAGCGTCGTTCATCCTTCCGACGTTTAACCGAGACGTTGAACGAGCGATTTTATACTTGATTTCAAGCGTTCACTTTTAAGTCTTCCATTCGAAGCTGTTTACTTTTATCTAATAAATGATTGAACTTTCATTTGCAGCTGGGAATCTTGGACGTGTTCGAGCCCAGGGCCGCAGACTTGTCGCCGATGACCCCGGATCTAGGGGTGTACGCGAGGGACGTGCAGCAGAGCATCGGTGTCAACATCAGAAATTATATGAAACCAGATAGGACCCACTCTCGTGAGTCGACCAATTCTGATCTCCGCTTGATCGTTCCACCTCGTCGAGACTATTACCGATACTATCATCCAGGTTTCTGTTCTCTACTCTCTATGTACCACTGCACTTCATCCTCTACCTTTCCTTCAAACTTCGAGGGTCTCCAAAGAAAATTACTTTGTACCAGCCACCAACTTAACTTCCAGTCATCTTCAATCGAGTTTGCAGAAGTTTCTCAATTTCGAAGCTAGCTTCCGAAGTTGCTTGATTAGAGCTTGAAAAAGAAAGGATAAGAGGATTTTTTGAATCATAGTAAAAGGAAGATATTGAAAGAACATTCGATTGAACGATTAACCTGACGAAATCTCCGTTAATGACTAAATTGTTTGAAAGTGTCATTTTCTTCGTTTGCTTCTTTAGAAACACACGGTGGATTAGAAATCTTCTTGAAGGTCGAGGGATCGTCAGGCGTGGCGAATTTGACTGATTCATCGAGGGATTCCTTTAATATTGATAGATTTTTGTATTTCTCTTTAAAAGAGATTCCTGTCTGTCGATCGTAATTTCTTTAAGAGAAAGTGCTAGCTTTGGAACGCGAGAGTAAAAGAACATCGATCTACTTACGTTTCTTAAGGAATTTAAATGTAACTCTCGATGAATCCGATTCTTTGATCTTGAAATTACTTCTCCGCTTCATTAATCCTGTCTGTGTCTACTTACGTAAGGAAAAATATTTTTCCCTTCAATCGATAAATGTCGAATGGTCCCCGATTCCGTTGCTCGCTCATCGAAGAGCCGTTGTTTCCTGTTTATTGTAACCAACCGGTGGCCAGGATCGGGAATATTCTCAGTATTGTTATAAAGTTAGCTGGATTTAATCGTTGATATCCGGTGTCTGACTCACACCGAGGGGAAATAAATAAAAAGACCTTGCGGTTACTCTTCTATTCTGTCTACTAGGAATTCCTGAATTGTTAATAAATATCATTCATTGCTTATTGCCTATTTCCTCTGTACTTTTGATTAGGTTCTCCAAACATTTCCGAATCATGTGCACTAGAATAATTTATAGAACCTTGATGAGTTGACTATATGTTCCTGCAGATCAAACTAAAATTCTTAAGGAAATCAATTAGTCAACGCGTTGAGGTGTTTCTTAACTATTTTTCTGCATCAATATATTTAAAGGCATTTTCTGTCACAGGTAACGGACTATTTGAAAGAGCTGGGCCAGTGCCATTCACGGTCGTCCATCCGTACCTCTACTTCATCGTCGATGCTGAAACATCAGTGACTTTGATCGCTGGCCGAGTTAACGATCCGCTCAATTCACGGATACTTTAGACTCTGGTACACACTGTTCAAGGGAAAGCAGACGAGTTTCATAGTAGTAATAATAAACATGTGTTTATTTGACATACTTATAAATATCGTTATAATCTATAAACAATTATATATATATATTTAGTCGAGTTTTTCTAATTCGCACACACCTACCTTTAAGTATTACGATGTATGTCTGTACAAGGATTCGTGAGTTGTAAATAAAAGAAAGACAAAGAGACAGACAGACAGAAAGACAAAAGGGATAAAAAGGATTTAATTTAATTATTAGAAACGATGGGCAAGAATTTAGCATTTACAGGCTTCGCTATACACAAGTGGAAATGAGCTTGCTGCTGAAACTGCCTGAAATTTCAAATGTATATCATTTTTTTTTCTAATAATATCATAATTTTGCAGAGGCCTTTTCAACGTCAAGCTGGCGACTCTTTACTTCTCTTCCTTCTCTGTTCATATACACAGGATGATAAAAGCTGATACAACGTTGCTTGATCGTCCATTCGACGAGAAATATATTATTATCTTATTTATATGTATATATATATAAATACAATTCTTGTGAGTTCCTTCGTCGTTTAAGAACGACTTTTATTTATTGGTCTCGTACGTGAAACCTTCCACAGTCTCGCGTAATCTGCGTTTGATTGGCTTCGCTTTCAAAGCGACAGTCTTCGAGATGGAAGTTTCTCAAACTTCAATCCGATACACCTTCCCCCGTGCGTTTATTTTCATCGTGTTTTCTTGCGAAATAAAATCACCGTTAGGAGATGCGCGAAAGGGAAACACGGAAGCGTTTATCGTTTCGAGTCTCGTGTTCTCTTGTTAGGATCAACGTAGGTCGTCGATCGGAAATTTCACGTATATTTGGCAGTGATTCGTTGCCTTTTTCTTCCACGTTGATTAAGAAATCATCGAAGAAATCGAAGACACGCGCAGAGCAACGTTCAGACTCCGAGGAATCGATTTCGTTAAGCTGTCATCAAGGTCCCGTGATAAATGATGGACGAAAACGTAACTGGGTCAAGTGACGTTCTTCAGGATCCACGGGACGAATTTCGAGATCCTCGTGCACACCCCCGGTAAATTCGCCTCCGCGCAACCGATACCCCAGGATATTATGCCGGCGAGGAAGTATCGACCGTCTTTTCCCCTTACTTGAAGAGGACCACCCGAGTCGCCCTGTAGTATACGCATAAAAACCTTCTAAATGACGCTCGTTGATGTTTATTCGAGGAAATTCTAATCGTATCGTTTCTGAAAAATGACTAAATGTAAGAATAAATAAAACATGAAGAGATATACCTGACAGGAATCTTGTCCTCCGCTTTCATATCCGGCGCACAGGAATATGTCTGGTATGAACTCGTGTCTACCAGCCCTCAGGAACATTGACTTACATCTATCGTTACTCACTATAGGCACGGAAACCTGAAACACAAAACGTATTACCCTTTCCTCCAAAAAAATTCCGAACGATCCATCGAAGATTAATCATCCCTTCAGCCCTCGACGATATATCACCGTCCAAAAATTGTAAAATGAACCGTTGCCAGTTGGCACGCGATCTCCTATAATTTACGATCACAAGTTTTACCTCCTGCAGCACCGAGGGTAGGGTGCCACCCTCGCTCAATCTCCCCCATCCGGTAACAGTGGCGTTTTCCCCGATCAACAGATCATCGGTGGCTGGCAAGCATATCGGCGAGATATGCGGGGCAAATGTCAACGAGCTTTCCAGCCTGACCAATGCCAGATCGTACTCGTACGTGAAGAAATTGTACTTCGGATGAACGACTTTCTTCGCTACACCTCGTTCCACGTACGGTAGACGTTCTTGAACCGACGAGAAATCGTATTCACCGACTCTGATGCGGATCTGAGAGGTCAACAAGCTGAAACAGGATCGAAGGACAGGATCGCGTTATGTCGCGGAAGGAAATTCGAATGCTGAGAATTTCTCTTCGATTACAGCCTTGAATATTTACTTACTCGTCGACGCAATGTCCCGCGGTCGCGATCCAGTTCTCGTTCAGCACCGCCCCGCCGCAGCGATGGGTGCTGGAGAAGCCGAAGAACGAGGTGCGCCTCACGGACACCTGCCAAGGCCATCGACCGAACGGCGCGTCCTTGCCACCGACTATCCTCGTCTCTGGACGCGGAAACAGCGGTGGTACACCGCATTGCATACCTTTGCTCTCGGCTGCCGCGGGAACTGTCAACACCGAGCCTGTCCTCGTGGCTGGCTCGCTAGTGGTCATGGTCGTATCTGGTTTTGGAGTGGTCGTTGTGGTGGTTGTGGTGGTTGTTGTAGTACTGGTGGTCGTACTGGTGGTACTGGTGGTTGTTGTGGTGGACGTGGTGGTCTTCTTCGTGGGTCTGGGCCTGGCGGATGTCTCGAAATGGGACGTGGTTATGTAGTGTGCTGAACCGAGCGGTTTATGAAACTCGGTACTCTGCAAAAAAGAAATATCATCCATGGAATTGAATATGGAATGGCTGACAAGCCGCGTATTAACCGTGCGGTTTCCGCATTTATTCATTTTCAAAAACGATCAATCAACTTTTCCATCTAGCCGGGCTCAATCGGCTGTGTAATCGAGCCGATGCTTCTTTGTCGCGATTAACAGTAACCATGGATGAAAAGAAAACTATCGATAGAATGTAATAATCTTGCGGGTTACGAGATTCTCCATCGAGGAAACAACCTGATGAAGTTGTTCCTCGAGGAGGAACCGATTTACAGATAAGATGCTTCGTAAAACAGTATTCCATCTCTTGAATAGGGAAGAACGGCTCGTAATTATGGCCAGTGGCGCGTGGAAAGGATCGTTCACGTGGACTAGCAAGATTATGTTTCATCAGGTACTATGCAGGGACGGGAAGATGGTTAACAATTCATGTGTGACCCTTTCAAATCCTCCACTTTAAGGTTTTTGATAATGAGACGACTATCCTATTATTTAAAAATTATTTAAGCATCTACCAACGTTATAAGGTAACTAATGTTATAAATAGTATGTAGAACTATAGTATCAAAATACATAAGGAAACAGCTACACGTACTTCTTGCGGTTCGGTCGGTTTGAAACTCGGTCGCGGTGGAAAGGCTTCAGGCCCGTTCTGAAGGAGGCTAGGATTGTCCGTCCAGTGTGGTTTCAAGGACGGCCTAGGCGGTGTCCAGCTATTCTCCGACCAGAAATGAGAACTGGTGGCGATAGGTTTAGCGGTCTCGGAGGAACTCATCGGTTTCGTCGACGACACTGGCCTCTGTTTCGTGACGAACGCTGGCTCTGTGGTCACTTGCCAGTGAGAGGTCTGTGGTACGGATCCGGCTGCGCTAGAATGAAAGAAAAGTTTGAAGTTGCTGCTCTAGAACTTGTGCCCTACCGAAGTTTCTTCGCAGAGATGTTGAAAGCAAGTGTCTCTGACACTTTAGAACGTAAGGACATAGTCGAATACCTGGTTGTGGAGCTACTCGCGTAAGTCGGCCTGGCAGTGGTCGTAGTCTTCGTAGAAACGTTCGAAGTGCTAGGTTTGGAGATGAAGTTCGGCCTCGTGTCTGATTGATCACTCATCGACACCGGTCGATAAGTGGTCGTTTTGATCGAGAAAAACGGTTTCGAGAATTCCGTCGTTGGTTTCGCTGATATCGGCTTCGTCGCCCATTGTGGACGTTCGGTATGAATGAAGTTCAAACTGGGATGTGGTTCCTTCGCGGGTTCCTGATCAAAATACAATCAGACACCTCTAAATATTTTCCCAACACCGTCACAGAACAGATTTACTTACATTTTCATCGACAGAATTGACGCTCGGTCGGTGCACCGACTCCTGGACACTTAGATCGGCATCCTCCGTTTTGCTATCGTCAGGTCTCGATTCCGACGGTCTTTGGTTGTTCGGCCTGTTCGGCCTAGTGTTCTTATCCTTACTAGACCCTTGCTCCTTCCCAGGTAGCCTTATCACTAACGTGTTATGTGCCGTGTCCACTTTATCCTTGAAACCCTGGTGATGATTCTGATAAGTGGTATAAGAAGAGTCCTTCTCCTTAACAGCCGTGTGCTGACCATCTTCTGGTCTAGTCTTTTGCTGAAGATTCTGGGTATTGTGACTTGGCCTCTTGGTGCTTTGAGTGCTATTCTCCCAGAGATTAGAGATACCAGGTCTCTTGGTACTATGTTGCCCTGGTCTCTTCGCGTTTTGAGATCCTTTCTCCGGAAGATCGGAAGGTCGTTTAGTGCTCTGCGATCCTTTTTCCCAGTGATCAGAGGATCCTGGTCTCTTGGTGCTCTGCGATCCCTTCTCCCAAAGATCAGAGGAGCCGGGTCTCTTGGTGCTCTGCTGGTTCTTCTCCCAGAAATTCGACGAGGCCGCGGCCACCGACGTCTGGATCCTGTCCTTGTGATCGGATGCGGGTTTCGCGTGCGGTCTTTTTTGCAACGGTCTAGCGGAACCGGCCGATAGCGGTCTGTGCGGTCTGCCCTGGCCCGCGAAAGAGTCGAACGTCCCGGATGGACGGTGACCGGGTCGCGAGGTGCTCGAATCCGTGACTAGGAAGCCGGATAGAGAAGCGAGAGTGGGCCTGGTCGATTCGTTGCCCAACGCCTCTGCCAGGGTCGGTCTCAATGGGTTCGACTGATGCTGATGGGGTGCGGTGATCGTGTTCGACGTCGAATTGTGCACGCAACAGCTGCCGAACATGAACGTGTCCACGCACACGCCCACGTGCGTGCCCTCCGATTTGATGCACTCCCACACGAACATGCACGTGCCCTCCTTTGACTCTGGGCCCGGCACCCTGCACGGCTTCGGGGTGATTTTGTAACCTACACGTGGACAGAGTATGGTGATACCAAATTAAAACTGTATTTGAATTGATTGGAATTGATTTTCCAATGAGTTTGATCTTCGTTTGTTTTTTCAAGCTGACCCACATCGGTGTTGACGCGTGGTGCGTGATAAGCCACCGTTTAAAGAGTCTCTAGGTAATTCTCTCTATAATTAACGAAAGCATCCTGGGACCTGCGAGGTCACGGTGTACAAGGATCGATAACGTTCGACTAAACGATCGCAAGCACCGTAGATTTTAGGTGAATCGTTAACCAAGTGATTTTCAAATAAACTCAATGATCCGTCTAATAATCGAACAGTCGTTAATTATTCCTTTCGAAATAAGCTTCGTTAAGCGAATACCTAACACGGGGAAGAGGAAAAAGGGAAACTTAATCGTCGGATGGAGTACGTAGACCCGGGCCAGGTCGTTAACCGAGACGTAAGTTACCACGGTTCACAGTGTGTTCACTGTTTCGTTTTCTCCGTTAGAAATACGTTCGCGTATCGTTCGTTGCACTTTGCTCCGCTGTTAATTAAACGAGAACCGTTTTTGCAATAGATCAGAACGCTCCTCGAGTTTCAGAATATTCATGACCTCTCATTCGAAAAAGGGTTTTCGTTTTTTCTTGGAAAATTCTCCAACGAGCATCGTGTAACGAACGTCAGTAAGAAGGGTGCGTTCTATTGTTGCAGCGAGACCATTTTCCATGAAAAACTTCTAATTGTAATTAACACTGTAACAAGATTCCATCAAGCGTTATGGTCGAGTGGAAATTCCACGAGCTATCATAGGAGTTAAAAAGGAAAAGATTTCTTCCTCGAATCAACAAGGAATCCGCCCCTTCGTTCGCTTTTCTTTTCTCACGCTCGACCGACTGCACCTTGACCGAGTTCCTCGTCCAATTAGGCGTTACACATTTCAGAGGACGTTCCCGACACGAAGAAGAAAGAGAAACGTTCGAACAGGTGGAGAAAGGGAGTACTTGGAGGGGATAGAAGGGAAAACGTTCGACTAAGGGTCGAACGGTCAAAACGATGGAACCAGAACCGGCCACTTTATGCTCGAACAAAAAGATACCTATCTATTTCACGTTAAGGTGTGTTTCTTTAAATAACTGTTATTCACAAATTGCTATCATCGATTAATACTCTCCGTTGAATATTGAATCGTTCGAACATTGAATATCAGATGGTCAGTTTCCACGCACGGCTTCGGGAACACGATGGATAAACATATTGTATATGCTCGCGATCAAATCACCAAAAAAGAGTATTACTGACTGTGACCTCGATTCAGCGTGCTGAGAGACCTGGCGATGCCCGACCACCAGAGAATTGTGGCCACGTAACCGATCCACCGCATCCTGATCCCTGAAATCAGAAATGTACCACTTAGCATAGTATTCTCAGCTATCAAGTATCCTCGACATTCTCTATTTATCCAGATCGCCCCATCCTCTCTACAATTTTATAATGAACTTGTCTAATAAAAAAACGATGCAAAATGCGTTGAAATTTTCGTACGATAACGCGAACGATGCCTGAAGCTACAAAAGTTAAGGAACGAAAGAAAATCCATGGAGCAACATTGTGTTTGGATAGACGGTAGCTCGAGGTTGTTGTTCTCCGTGGTTAATCTTGAAACATGCAAATTGCACGCTGGCTACTGGCAACAAAACTTTTCTGATCCTTTGGATACAAGCACGCGTTTATCCAGTTATTCCCCGACCAGTTACACCTGTATGACTCGAGTTATTGCCACTTCCGTACCCGCCAGCTCTGGTCTCGCTGACTTCTGATGCGTTTCTACGCACGTATCAGATGCGGCCTCTCTGTTCCTTCAATTAGCGAGCTTCTGTTGCTAATAAGCATACCTAATGCTATGCGTTCCTCGCGTGCCTTGGTGGCGCGCCAAAGTACCATCCTTCGATCACATTTTCTATAATTCCAAACTTATTTAACCGTTCACCGTTCGAACAACTGGAAAAGTTCTTTTTATTAGTAATAATCGCTGCGAATCATTATATTTTTATGGAATGTGTATCATAAATTGAATACAGAAGGGTTGTAAATTAAAGTCATCAACTTTCTATTCGAATGGCGATCGAAGGAAGGAAAAAGAGCGAATGGAAATGGGCATCGTCCAGTTGAAAATGGAGAGGGCTAGATGAAAGGGGCGAGGTCCGCGCAAACGCTCCCATTGCATTTACGACGGGTCATCAACGACTATTATGCAAATAAAAGAAACCGCGTGGCAGTAAAACCGCGAGATATCGCGTAACGTTTCATCACGGACGTCTAGCCACGTTTTCCATCGGTCTGGCTCGAATATTATGCGAAACGAGCGCGTATATTGAAAAATGGAACGGTTCTATGCGTTTTACACATACGCATGCCGCTAGCATCGCGCATCGGTCAATCAAGGTATTGATTTAACACGGATTTCCAGACCATCCTGAATATTAGTTGAAACGGGGCTACGGGGAAAATCCATCGTTCGAAAATATAGAAAATTTCATCCGAAAGAAACGTTGGACTTTCTTTCTTACACTTTTCTTTTCGAATACATCGGTGAACCCTGTTTCGTTAACAATCCGAAGGAAAGAAAAATCTCCCCCTTTAAACCGCGAAATCAAGCATCAGTGAAGTGTATCGCGGAGAGATGAAGGTAATTCAATCGACAGCAGGTGCAGAGCTGGTCGATAGCAGAAAAACGCGGTGATTGCGGAGCGGAAAGGATCGCAGCCAGCTTGTTACCGAATTCTCGTTTCGCATACCGGGTCATCGAGCTGACTTTCGAGCTTTCTCGGTCGTTTTTTCGGACAATTTGTCTCGTTGACACCGATTCACGAGCGAGGGAATCCGACCACCGGTTCCTCACTGTTTTTGTTCCAACGGATAACGCGGTTTTATCGAGCCTCGTATTTCAACGACGACAGACAGCCGAGAGAAAGGGCGGACCAGTTCAAATCGATATTCGATAAAAAATTGCAGAGAATCCTTCATTGTCGTTGAAGAATCTATCAAGGTAATTTCGTGGCTTCCACCCTTTTGGCTGCTATGGTTATTCGAAAAATTTTTCATTTTAAATTTAGTAGAGGTGATCGATAAAGCGTTTGATGAAATATCTATCGGTAGTACCGTTACGAATTCGTTTAACTTGTATCCTCGAAACAAAAGGACAATCGACGCTTCAAATTCGATCGTTTCTCTCAAATGAACTCGGAGGTTTAATCGTTTCATCTTCAATAGCAGAAAGTTCGCTCGAACGATCGCAAGCGCACACCTCCTGGAGCAATATTTCCCGGTGTGGTTCATTATCATTTTAAGCGAATCACGTTCGCGATCGCGATCAACCTGAATGGTTTAGTCTCAAAACATTGATTCGCATTCATGGTCGCCGCGCGTAAGAAACGTCAACACATTTCACGCCACATAAATCAACCGGCACTGGGTTCGATTGTTCGATGCACTTTCGAGGAAAGGATCCCGTATCTGGGTCAATTCCTGCTGATTTGTGTCACCACGTTTTGTATTAAAACCTTTGCTCCGGAACGATGATTTTCATTTTTCAATTCATTCCCTTCCTTTTTCTATTATGTTCGATGCAAAATTATTTTCTCTCACGACGTATCTTTTATAGATAAAAGATACCAATTTTTCAAGTTATCATTAAATAAATTCCTTTCGAATATTTGGAGGATACGAAAGGTAACAATTTCTTGGACGATTGATACTTTGAAGGATGAACAGTCAAATACCTCTACCTTTTTCCTAAATACAAAGTGGAGATTCGCAAAGGGTAGCATAAATATCGCATTAATCTTCCAGCTGTTCCTTCGAAACCGCGAATCAAGCAGCCACGAATCAGTCCGAAAAATTACAGAGCATCCCGAAAACAAAGTTCCCTCGTCACGAACGAGTAATCTGTCCAATCATCGATTGCACCCTGGCCCTTCAACTAAATTATAAGACGATACGGAAAAGATTTTGATATCCTAGATTGAAGATAAGCGAATGGAAAGCTTGCAATCTCAAATAACTCCTGAAAATACACGAGATCACGTGAACTTTACTTCGAGTATCGCTTCTATTCGAGGATGTTCCTGTTTGCAGGAGAAAATGCAGTCTTCTTCCACGAGAGTGGTACGCAAACATCAATTTCATATCCGGAAGCGATGTCTAGCTTGTGAGTTTGCCTGAGTGATTTCGAGACTGACGACCATCCTTTCGTGGACTCTTTTTAGTTTAAATATTTTTGATAGAATATAGACAAAATTTTGATTTATCAGACGTTTCATAAGACCCTCTCACAACTTTCGTTCTACTTCATAGAAAGAATTAATCATTTAGAAAAGAATGATTTTTTAAAATAAAGAATGGCTAGCGAAAATCATTTGCCGGATATCGTTGCGCGTGCTCGCGGTCAACCGAGTTCTCGTTCCTCTCGTTGCCCAGAAATATGTGTCACTTTTTGCGGGATCTGGTGCACCATACGAGAAACGGGTAACACGAGACCACGGCCCAGTTCCTCAGCAAACCCGAGGAACACGTTCTATTCCTCCCATGCTCCTTTTCTTCCATGTTTTGCCGGTCCGTTTGTTTTCTTCTCCTCACCCTTCGGCCCCTACGAGAAATGCAATTTTTCCTTCTTCAAACATCGAGAAATTGCATGGCATTCGTCTTCGAGACGTGGTTGCATCGACTTGGTCGTTCTCGCTCCTAATAAAAATTCAAATTTCGTTCCATATTCCTGACAGGTTTGCGTAACAGCCAGTTTCGCAATCTGAAAACTTTCCTTTTCGATTGTGATAAACGTTGCAAAGAAAAATCGAAATCGCAGTTGGAATGAATATTCGTAATACATAGCGAGGGGGTGTTTTCTATGAATAACACAGATGAAAGAGAGAAAACTTTCTATAGTGACCTGCGGCTGTCGATACAGCAAAGTTTCCTTATTTCGAATAAATAATAGAAAAATTTGCAGAGACGCACGACTTCATTCTCGGTTAACAAATCGACGATTGAAGTTGAAATATTGAAGAGGGGTTGCGATCGAAATCCCGAAAGGTTCTTCTGTTTACGTTTATTCGCACACGTCAGACGTGCCGAAAATGTGCGAGCATAAATTTGAATGGCCCCAAGCGGCTTTTCCCAAAGCGTGTTCACGAAACCCTGTCACGTAGAGATCCCCGCACGTGTTTAGGAAGTCGCTGGAGGGTGGACGAGCCAGGGGCATTATGAAACCTCGTCGCGACTATGAATGTTAATGGCAGCTTAGACCGCGGCGACGTTTACTATCGCCGCGCCGTTGCAGAAAGTATAAACACAACAGTCCAAGTGCATCCTCGATTTTCTCTACTCCCCAGAGTGTCGTGGCACCGTCCTCGAGCGTTTCAAGAATTCACGCTTCGCTCTTGGCTGCTTCTTGAATTCTAGAATTCAAATTTATGCCTCTTCCAGCCGCGATTCTACGAAGCCCGAGAAATAAATTACAGAAGGGATAAATTCGAGAAAATATGACATAGTTAGAATTCGTAACGCTTAAAGTTATGGCTAATTTGTCAAGCTTTAATCTTACACAATATTCTTCCTAATAACTCCTCGATCATAATTCTATTAAATATTTATACATTTACGATTCCTCGGGAGATTGCGGAATTAGGACAATTTCAATTTGGTTCTTGAAAAAATATTCGTTTCCTCGAAGAGTTAATTTTTTCTTTTTTCTAAATGAGAAGCAATTATCTATGAGTCGCGCTTAAGCTGTTCTTAACGATTGCTAGGAAAAAGAGGTCAACGCGCGCGTGTCTGGATACACCGGTCAGCGACAGTTTTATATTCTTTGCTTCTTGACCTTGCCCCAGAGAGGCCACCGATCGGAACACTATTCGAAGCATGTAGGGTAGAGCAGTAGTTTCTTTCTCGTGGCTGGACGTTTAACGGTCTCGGTCCATGCCGATCGGATCGCCACGCCACGTATCCTCCAAGTTATCTTCCAGTGACCAACCTGCAGGACGATCAACCTGCCGCGGTACAAGGATCTCTTCCTCCTCTTACGACTTTCTTATTGCGAACGATTACGCTGGAATTAATTAACTATGTTATTGCGTATCAAATGGCCGATTTCGAGGCAGAGAAAGTTTAGCAGAATCCGATGGCATGAAATAAATGCGAACAGTTCATCTAATTCTTAAAAGATCCTGCACGATAACCGCGTTCCTACGTCGCGTCATCCCGCAAAGAAACGTTCCGTAACGAGTAGCGGTTATCATACCGACGCGTTCCCGTTTCTGCTTTAATCGTTCCCGTCCTGACGGCGAAATATTTCCCGCGATCCGTACAAGAAGAAGAAATACTCGGGAAAGGTT